GGGGCGAGGGGCCGAGCCGAGCGACGCGCGGGGGGGCCGAGCGGAGCCCAACTCACCGGTGCCCCCCGGCTCGTCCCGCTGCCGCCGCCAGTACCACACCAGGGCGAGGGATGCTGCGTGTCCCGCCGCCACCAGCGACGGGAACAGGGACCCGGTGTCCTCCATGAGGGACACGGCACGGGCTCGGCACCGGCCGGGCTCGGCGGGTCAGGGACGAACCAGCGCCCGCCCCCACGGGGCAGCGCCCGCTCCGCCTTAACCCCTCCCGAACCGCGGCGTGGAGACGCCTCCTGCCCGCCACACCGGCAGGGCCCCCCCCCTGTCCCCCCCCATCCCCCGCCCCCCCCACCCCCCCCCGAGTGTCTCCTTCATCCCGGCTTTTTATATCCTGGGACAACGCGCCCCGGCGGCGCCAGCCCCCCCCCGTCCCCGTCCTTTCCGCAGCCCCACCGGTCTCACCCACCCGGTACGACCTTCATGGGCAGGCAGGTGCGGGCAGGTGCGGGCAGGGTGCGGACAGGTGCGGAGCGCGGAGCGAGGGCGCAGCGCGGCTCCGCCGGTGGCGGCGGGGGCTGGGGGGGGGCGGGCAGGGAGCGGGCGCCGATATAAATAACCGGGGCCCGTCACCGAGCCCGAGTTAGAACATGACACGGGCGGGGGCGGGACGGGGCGACCGCGGCGGCGCCCCAGGACCCCCGGACCCCCCGGCACCGGGGCGGGTCACCCGGCCGTCATCTCGGGGGTCGCCGTGACATCAGAACTGAGAGCTCCGGCACGGCCCCGCCGCCGAAGGACGCCGGCCCCCCGGGCAGGGGGGTAGTGGGGCCGCGGAGGGGGTACCGGACCCCCTCCGCCCCCGCGGGGACCCCGCAACCCCCGGCCGCCGGCGCGGCCCCGTCCCCGAAAGACGGGATTCCAGGCCGGGTTTTCCGGCAGAGGCTGCCGGGGCGGAGGGAAAGCCTGGAGCCGGATCGGCTGGCACCAGCACTGGACGGGGTCCAGTCCCACGCGTCCCACGCGAGGGTCGGGCAGCCACGGCAGCCCCGGAGCCCGGCGCGAGATGTGACCCCCGGGCCAGCCCTCGGGACAACCCCTCCGGTCCCCACGGGACGTGGGTGCTGCCCGCGAGGAGCCGCAGCCACGGGACAGCAGCGCCGCGGGCCCGGCCCCCCCGGCGGCCGGTGACTCACGGCGCTGGCAGGGACCGGGCTCGGCGCCTCCGGGCTGGAAACTTGGACCGGAGGCGACTGCCCACGGCCACGGGCTGACTCACAGCCCGCGGGGATCGGGGGGGCCCTCGCCGCCGCCTCGGAGCGACACCACAGCTGCCCCGCCCGGGGGGGTGGGACACCGGACGCCCCGCACCCCCGCCGGGTCCAGCTGCCGCCGATCGTGTGTCGGGATCGCGTGTCGCCAGGGAGGCGGGGTTGGGGATCCCCCCGCAGCCGCAGCCCCCTCCCCACCAGCGCTGCCCGCCCCAGCTGCCGCCGTCTGTCCGACCCACCCTAGGCCCAGTGGGAACCTCGGGGGGCAAAATCCCCACGGAATGCGCCCCCTCCCCGCTATGGCCCCCCCTGAAGCACCGCTCCCCAGGGCGCGGGCACCCCGCCGCACATCCCCCCGCAGCACAGCCCCCAAGGCCCAGCTTCCCCCCGGCACCGCGGCGGAGCCCGGCAGGGCGGCACCAGTGACTCCCCGGCACACTCCCGGTCCCGTCACCCCAGCGGCCTCTCGGGGACCCCGGGAAGCCACCTCAGTCCACCCCGGCCCCCGTGATCCCCCAGGGGCCACTCCAGCCCAGAGGGTCCCCGTGGGGTCAGGGCGAGGAGCCCCCCAGACAAGGCAGGGGCCTGCAGGAACCCCCCACCCCACCCTTGGCTAGGAAGAGTGGGGGGCACTTAGGGGAGCTGAAGGACTTGGGGAGCTGGAGGACTTGTCCCAGCCCTCCCCTGGGACCAGAGGGGCTCGAGTGCCCCCCACCCACGAGAGCACCAGGAGCACCGCGGGGCGCTGATCGGTACCTGCGGCCGGGCCGGGCTGGGGGGGCGGCTGGGCCACCCCCTGCGCTGCGCTGACGGCGCTGGGCTCCACGTGCCCCACGCCCTCGTCCTTCCTGCGGTACAGCCGGTCACCGGCGGCGGGACGCGCCCGGTGGGGACCGGCGGCGGCGCGGGGCCGGGGGGCGGCGGGGCGGGGGACGCGCTGCAGGGAGCGCGGGACCACGTCCGGCGGCAGCCGCAGGTACTGGCGCAGGTGGGCGACGCCGGCGTCCGTCAGGTACCAGTAGAGGTGTCGCCAGGCGGCCGTCTGGCGCACGAGGCCGCGGGAGCGCAGCGAGGCCATGGCACGCCGAACCTCCACGTTGGCCACGCCGGGCAGCTGCGGGTGGGTGCGCCGGGGGCAGCCGTCCCGCTCCCCGACCAGAACACCCTCGCGAAACAGCAGCTCCAGGATGGAGCGGAGCCGCTCCAGCGGCATCAGCATCCCCGCCACCATGGTGGCACGGCACGGCTCGGGGCACGGGCCGCAGGGCTCGGTTACGGCTCACCCAGCACAGCTCAACAGAGTCCAGAACCGCTCCGTACGGTACAGCCCAGGCTGCTCCAGCACAGCCCAGTATGGCCCAGCGCAGCCCAGTACGGCCCAGCGCAGCTCAGCACGGGCCAGTACAGCCCAGCACGGTCCGACGCGGCTCAGTGTGGTCCAGCCCAGCCCAGTATGGTCCGGCCCGGCTCGCGGTCAGTGCAGTCCAGTGCAGTCCAGTGCAGTCCAGTACAGCCCAGTGCAGCCCAGTACAGCCCCGTATGGCCCGGCACGTCCCGGCGCGATCCGACACGGCGCGGTGCTGGCTGCCGGCACGGCGGGAGCGGCTGCAGCTCCACCCCCGCTCGGGGGGGTCAGGGGGGGGCCCCAGGCCCTGCCCTGACTCACCACCGGCCCCTCCCCGGCCCCGGCTCCCGCCCGGGGGGGCCACGGCCGGACCCGCCTCCCCCTTCCCCCCCTGCCCCGACCCACCCGGCCGGTTCCTGCGTGGGAACCCCCGCGGGTCCCGCCCCGCCCCCGCCCCGGGACCGGCCCCTGGGAGCGCCCGGGGGGACCCTGAGCCGGGGGGGGCTCCTTGGGCTTGGAGGGGACCCCGAGCCGCGGCCATCCCGGAGCCCAGGGGGACACTGAGCCGCGGGGGTCTCTGAGCTTGGGAGGGACACCCCGAGCCTGGGGAGGGACCCTGAGCCCTGCGGCTGTCCCTGAGCTCGGGAGAGGACCGTGAGCACGGGGTCCCCGAGAGGGGAGAGGCCCCGAGCCGGGCACGGCACCTCCACGCTCCCCCGAGCATCGCGCAGCGCGGGGCTGCGGGCAGAGCCGCGGGCAGGGCTCGGGCAGGGGGCGAGCAGGTGGATGGGCACGGGCAGGGCTCGGCAGCCACATCCTGCCACGTCAATATTTGCTCTGCTCCTGGCCCAGTTTATCCCGGCACCCCCGGGGGGACCCCGCACAGTCCCGGCAGTGACACGGGGACACAGCTGTGCCACACCACGCCCGCCGGCCGGCAGCTGGGGACACGGCAGCTGCCACTCCCCCGAGCCCCCCGGCACCGAGAACCGCCCAACAACCCCCAGTGGCACCGCGGGGACCCCAGAACGGCCCCGGCACAGCAGCGGGACCCCCGGCAGGGCCGCGGGAAGAGCCCCGGCAGCGGGGACGCCCCCTCTCCATGGGCACAGCCAGGTTCCGTGCCAGGGGGCCGAGGGCGTGGCACCCACATCACACAGAAGGAGGAACCATGTGGGACCAACCGGGGTGCCAGGGTGTCCCCCACGCTGGGAGCTGCTCATGCCGGGGGAACAGACCCCAAAACGGGAGGAGCCCCCCAAGGCTCCCTCAGCACCCCCGGCCGAGCGCAGGGAGCTCGGGGCACTGGGATGCTGCAAGGCCGCAGCAGAAGCCCCCCGGCAGCCTTGGGGGAACGGAGAGACACCCCCCGGCACCGCCGTCCCTGCCGATGGCGCTACTGGGAGTGACAGCGGGGTTCACTGGGATTTACTGGTGGGGAGCAGTGACCCAGCCATGGGGGGCTGCTGCCTGTGGGGCGCCCGACCCTGGGGATCCCAAACCCGCGGGGCTGATGTGCATGCACTGGCATCCCCGGGGGCCCCAGCAGGACTTGCACAACTTCCCCACGCCTGCATGCCCTCAGCCCTGAGGGCAGAGAGGGGTGGAGGAGTGAGGCTCCCGTTACTCCATCACTGACCGGGGCCCCAGCACAGCTGGTGCGGGGGAACTGGGAGCACTGGGGCGCCCAGACCCCCTCGAAGGGAACGCCTGGGGAGAGCATCAGCTGCCTGTCTGAGCCCCACCTCGGCATGTTCCACCCCCAGAGCCCCAGAGCACCCCGGAACCCCAGCGGGGTGGGAGGGGGCAGCGGCTGGGGGGGAGGGGGAGTGATGGGGGGCGGGGAGGGGGACAAAGGGGAGCAGGGATGAGAAACGATGGGGAGCGGCTGTGGATGGGTGCGATGGGGGCATCTCCAGGGAATCTGGGGGCAGCAGGAGCGCGTCCCCCCCCAGGCGTGGCCCCGCACCCCCAGCCCGCAGCGGGGTCACGGCCGCGCCGGCGGCTCCCTCCGGGAAATGCCGCGTCAGCGCCCGCCGCCCGCCGTGATCCAACGCGATGTGACAGCGGGGCCGCCGCCAGCGCCCCGCAGCTGCCCCGTGCCGGGCAGGGCCCCGCACCCACCGGGGAGGAACCCCCCCGCATCGGCCCCGCAGCTCCGCTCACCGCCCCGCACCTCGGGGGGGGCCGGGAGCAGCGGCTGCCAGCACGAGGGGCTGGGGGCACCCCCCAATCCCGCTCCTGTGCGCCCCACGGGCAGCCGGGCGGGGGGGGGGGGCAGCCCCCCAAATGTGCCAGCGGCTTCTGGCCACGGGCCCGGCGCCGCCGTCCTGGTGCCGGTGCCAGCGCCGGTGCCGGTGCCAGTGCTGGGGTCTGGCGGGGCTCCCCGTGCCCGGCGGAACAAAGCCGCGGCTGTTTGCGGAGGGCACCGCGGCCAGAGGCTCATAATGAGGCCGGTGCCGGCGGGGGTCCCGGCGCTGGGACGCTTCTCACGGTAAATCAGCCTCGCCGCAGCCCGGGCTCCGCCGGGGGGACACGAGCCGGGATCCCCTCGCTGGGGCCTGCGGCATCGCCACAGCTGCTGACCCTGCCGGTGTCCATCCCAAACCTCGCCGGGATCACCCCCGGACGCCCGAGGTCCATCCCATCCCCATCCCGAGGCTCCCGGGGTCCATCGCGATCCCCGCCGGTGTCCGTCCCACCCCGAGGCTCCCGGGCTCCATCACGACTTTCCCGGCGCGCATCCCATCTCTCGCCGGGTACATGCCGACCCTCGCCGGGCTCCGTTCCAGGCCGGGCCCGGCCCGGTGGCTCGCTGCGGTGGCCCCGCGGTGGCTCTGTGCCCGCTGCGGTGACACAGGGACCGCTGGCCGCCAGCAGCCCCGTGACCGGGCCCGTTCCTCACGGCCCAGCGCACCGGCTCTGCAGCACGGCTCGGTACCGCGGCACCGCCAGCGCGATGCCTGCCGGGTTCCCGGTGACACCGGCTCACTCTGTGCGATGCCGGCGATGCCGAGGCGTCCCCGGTGACCCCCGCCCTCCTGCCGGCGATGCGACAGTGGCACACAGGAGGGATGCGGCACGGCGGGAGCCCCCCGGGACGCGCCCCCCGCCCCTCCGCGGGACGCGGAACCTCCCCGGGACGCGGAACCTCCCCGGGACGCGCACTCCCCGCGGGCCCGGTCCCGGGACCCCTCCCGGTGCCCCCTCCCCCGGTACCTTTGAGGGACGCGATCTCGTGGTGGATGCCCCGCGCCCCCTCCATGGCCGCCCGCGCTCCCGCACGCTGCCGGCCGGTCCCGCAGCCCCGGGGCGGGTCCGGCCCGCCCCCCCCG